AATAAAAATAGAAATTTTGATTATTTGTGTCTCAATATAAGCTCCTTGAACAATGATATATTTTTCACATCGTTTAATGAAAACCTGTGAGCTCCTCAAAGAGTAATCTGAAGGTTTGTTCTCAAAATATTCCCAAATGGCTTGCTACACGGTATCAGCTTCATTAAACCTCTCTCTACGAAGGTCAGATTTCAGTTTTGAGAATAAATGCTATTAATCATTGGGAGTTAAATCTGGCTGCAAGGAGGTTGGTCAAACCCATTAAATCTACTTTTCTTTGGTGCCTTTTTAGCAACGACAGTTGAATACACGGGAACATTATGTTAGAACAGTTGAAATTTGTGACTTTTCTTCTGTGACCACACCTTTCCATTTCAGTTTTCTGTACAATTCATGCAAAAAAAAGACTTACAGAATGTTCTCGTTAACAGTTGAATTTCTTTGATTAAAGTTTAAAAGGAAAGTGCCTTGACAGTCTCAGCAAATGGCATCTATTGTCTTTCTCATAGACTGCTTCACTTTTGGTTTTTAGGAAGGTGCTTAACCCGGTTTTCTCCTCTCCTTAATTTCCTGTTAGTGATAGGGTCACACTGTAAAATTATTGTTTCACCGCATGTTTTATAAAACTTGTAAAACATCCTCCTAATTTGTAGTACAAAGCAGCAGCAACTGCTCACAGAAAAAAAAAAGTCGGGGCACCCTTAATACAGTGGCTTTGTTACTGAAACGGTGTTCATGTCGAATGCGCGAAACAGTTGTTTTAGGTAGATTAATTTTGCTGCATTCGTTTCGGCTTTTAATACCCTATCACTCAATATTTTCCTTCTAGACACCAGAAATAATTTGTGCAATGTGTTTCCTTCAATGGTTCATATTTACGAGAATGATCATCATACACATAATGTAAACGTTTCTTTATTTCTTTGGAATTAGTATTTACGTCCGGCAAAAATTTAATAACAGAACGGTACTTAGTTTTAAGGATTTTAGAACAAATCAGCACACCATTTCATCCGGCAAATAGTCAAAACGAATGCGAAAGATTTTTTTAACAAAAATTACCAGTTTTTCGTCTAATATTGTCATTACAAGTGTGCAATAGATATTTATTACCAAAGAGATTTTACGTATGACGCCGGAAATGTTTTGATCTACCTAAGTAGATTTGCTCATTAAAGTATGTGAAAAACATATCGAAGTACATGGATTACATTGAAAAAAATTACTAAAATTATCTTCATTGCTTCGATTTTAATCTACATGCGTATGCATCCTGGTAGACTTACATATTAAGCAAAAAATTGTAAAAAAATAACAACAATAATAATAATAATTAAAAGAAATGAGTTATTTCACGACTTGTTTCGGAAGTTTACTAAACTGATATTTTAAAGTGAACATTCTTTTTTATTTTCAATGAATATATATAAAGATATTAAAATAAATAAAATTACCATTTTTTTTACTATATCTTTGCCAAATCGTTTTAAAAGAAAGTTTTCAGAAGTTAAATCATCGAATATTTTATGCTCAGAAAAAAGGTAAACATCTTAACCATATTTCACTTTAAAAAAAACAGTTTTTTCGAATTTATTTTAAACACTTTCCAAAAGAAGGAAGGCTGTGTAATCCAAAATACGTATATTGAAAAATGGAACTTCAAATTCCGTTTTGCCGATTTGGTTTTCTGAAGTGGACGAAGATGATACAATTTTGAGGGTGCCCACCGTTATTTTACAGAAGAATAAATCTATTTCTTTTACTAGTTCAAGAAAAATCTTTTAAAATTTGTTAGCTTTCAATAGCGCTAAAAGTTCTCTAACGAAATTTGGAAAACGTTTCCATCAGAACAGTGGAATATTTTCAATTAAAATGTTTCCGAAAGCTCTTCCAAAATTATATGTTTCAGTACAGTAGTGGTCAGAAAGCAGATTACCTCACTAAAAAATCTCATCTCATGATGTTTGAAGGAAACGAATATTAAATTTTGGTTCTTTGATTAAATTTAAAGAATTTTTAATATATTTATGATAAATGCTATTTTTTTTAAATATGAATAAAATAAAATGTTTATTCTAATAGGCTGGTTAATAAATTCTGAAGTAGTTTCTACTTCCTTACATTAGTTATTCAGATTTATTAGCTATCTACATTCTCATATTTATAGAGGTTAAAAACATATCTTCCAATATTCAAACAAAATGTATACTCATATACAGCATTATCTCACATATCCCGGCTTCGAAGAATCCGAATTCTGTATAGTCTGTTTGAAACGTTCAAAGCAAACTAAAGTTTACTTGAGTAAAATAAAAATAAACTCTAAAAGATTAACACACCTAATTTTTAATCAGGCTGCTTATAACCTATCGAAAGCGAAATAACCTATTGTTTCTACACTGTTTGTTTTTGTGTGAATTGAAAGTTAAGCTGTTGTATAGTACACATTTCTATTTTTTCTAGGCTTTCCAGTTGTATATATGCTGCTATAATATATAACCTATGGTCAAGTTATAGAGTTCCTCACTTCTAAGTTAATGCTGGAAGTGAAGAATCTAAGAACTGATAAGCGAATAATCGATTGAGTTCGGTGACAAGAAACAACAAGATAGAAGGGTAACTAACCCTTTATTATTCCAATAAGATTTAATAAAACTCCGCCTGGGAGTGTACAAACAAAGCCCACACTTGGACTTGAACTTAAAAGACTAAGAATTAAACTAAAACTAAGATTAACTAAAGAAGTATAGCCGAAGCTATCAAAGTTCAAATCGAGTTGGCCCCTTAACTTATTTGACTAGCTTAGCAAGGGCCGGAGTACGACCGAGCGTAATAACAGCTTTGAGAGAGAGAGAGTGGCCAAAAGGGCAGATGCGCGTAAATCAGAAACTCTGATTCTCTCTGACTCAGTAAGTAACTTCGTGGTTTAAATACCGCTCCTCCTCATTAAATATTCAGCAAGATTGTACTGTAACGTCTACTGACATTTCCATTATTTTGGAATAGTTGCCAAAGCCTAGAGATGATACTCTTGGCTATTCCAATTTCCTCGGATACTTCCATCTGACTATTCAAACATTCCAAGCGGCCAATAGTTCTACCAAGAAAAAAAAATCATCCACACACGTTCTATGTGTCATAAGTATTCACTTGTGGCACTAAACGGCTTGCAGAAAGTCATTAGAGGTCACGAATCCAGCCACCAAGAAAGGAAGGCAAGGATAAGATCGAAACGCAAGTTCCACAAAGGAAACGCCGAATAGAAGAGAGGAGCATTTGAGGAGAAAGAAACTACTGATAAACCGAGGGATCCGATGACTGATAAGCCAAGAATTCTCCGGCCAGTCCAAGGAAGTTCTTCGACAACAGCTGGCAAGCGTCAAGCCCAAGCAGAGCAACGTCAGAAGGTAGCTTGGAATAGAGGAGTCAAACGCAAGCAGCCAACGACGGGGAGCAATGCAAACGGCCAGCACCGGCAGAGAATTCGAATTTAACAGATGAACCAAGTCCTTCTATGATCATTAAATATTCAGCAAGATTCCAAAACTACGTTTTAAGAATTTGACAGGAAATGAATTTTAACTTAAAATTTAACTGTTAATAAAATTAACATAATCCTTACAACTTCTATAACATATATCAAAAGCAGAATTCCATGCATATCAACGTTTTGTAGTAATTCGAATCTATGAAAAAGTAAAATCTTAAAATTTTAGATTTAGATAATATTATTTTAGTTTCTGATCATTGCATTTAAAAATAAGCGACCTTTTCCAAAGTGTAAAAAGCAAGTAAAATCACCGAATACCAAGTTACACAGAATAAAAGATTCTTTTATTAACCTGAAAAATGCAGCAAATGCTGATACATTTTCAATTGAATATAATACATGTTAAATATATTTAAAATTATAACTATAAGGCGTATATATATATATATATATATATATATATATATTAAAATTAAATACAAGTTAAAATTATTAAGAAGTGTTGTTAATTACTTCCATGATGTCGCTTTGTTTACTAGTAACAAGGTAATTAAATTAAAAAAAACATGCTTTGTCGAATGGCAGCTTTTATGGGTTGGCTTCTTTTGTTGCCAAGTGACATGCTCCCTGGCAAAAAAGGACAGTACGTAAACCCCAGTGATTTACCAAAGGTAAACAAGTGTCTTTTCTCTCGTTTGGCATCTCTACCCATATGTTCGATAAGATCTATGGGACCATGAAACGACGCAAGACAGAACCTGTGAATTTTGTTTAAGTTACGTGGATGATGAGTACTTTGTAGAGCAAGAAAACTTAATGAAAATATTATAAAGAACACACCGCCACACATACTTATTTTTTTTTAATTTTAATAATACACTTTTTGATTAGTTACATTTAGAAATTAGCTTTTGTCACAAAACATAAAACATTTCCTATTTCAACATTTCCTTTAGATTTAAGAAATGTCTTTAATGCAAATTTTAATTACATCTAACCTCTACGAATGTAGAATTAAGTATCAGGAATGTATATAATTCAATAATTAAAATTTATCATTTATAAGTTAATGAATATAGATCTAAATTAACTGATTATTAAAACATTACACGCAGGAGAAATAAATTTCTTCAGTGAACTTTATAAAAACATCTCTACTACCTCGCATCATTAAGAAGAAAGGTTAACTGTTATAATTATTCAGTTTAGATAAGTTTATTAACTAACATATTGTTAATATCATCTATGCTTTTTGATACATTTAATCGTTAATATCATCTATGCTTTTTGATACATTTAATCGTTAATATCATCTATGCTTTTTGATACATTTAATCGTTAATATCATCTATGCTTTTTGATACATTTAATTGTTAATAGAACCTACGAGTTATATAATTCATTATTACTTATATAATAAAGCTTTATTTAAAATTATTTAAATTAATATCCCTCATTTAGAAAGATAAAAAAGGGTAAATATTAAAAAAAAATTAAGCATTTTGCTTACCATTGTATTGTAATCCAGGTATAATACCTTTTTCGATCTGCAGAAAGCTATGGTGGAGGGAAAGCTGCAAATCAGAGTCCGCACTAACATTTCCAATTATACCGTCCTCCTTTACAGAGAAACAAAGCTCCTCTTGGTCGGACCAGCACCTCCCAATCTTCAGAAACATAGCTATCACAAAGAAGAACCTTGCTATAGGTTTCATTCTGCAGCCATCTGTCCTGTATCTAATCACAGAATCATCTCTGAATGCATCAGACAAAATTTGAATGTTCTAATGTCCACTTGCATATAAATCTGTAGCTGTCAGTAATACTACTCGGTTAAATGAGTTGAGAAAAACTACCTACGGTGCAAAGCATATTTATTATAAGAGTGTAGCTAGAAATATCGTAACTGTTCACTAAACGTCAGTGGGATTGTACAGTAGTACTTACATCTAAATATTCAGGATTCTTGAAGCATTTCGTCATGCAAAATAGCTAGCAATTGAAAGGTTGAAAGATGCAAACATGTTTGTAAGATGTTGAATAGTTTCAAATGTTGGAATGAATTATAAAACTTTTATGTCACGTTTGATTCGACATGCAAATATCCGAAAGAATGATATGTTCCGGTAGCATAGTACAGTTAAAGAACAGTTTCTTTACTGTAAAGTTCATTTGATGGTGAAATGTTGAGGCATATTAGCTGAGGTAGTAGCGACAAGAAATTAACCAGTGCACAATATCTTCTTTGTATTTTCATCCTAAATAAAAAAAAATAAATTTTAAGAACAATGTAAACTGCCATTCTGTATAACATATATGCACTAAAATACATACGAATTCCATGCATTAGAGGAATGAAAAGAACATATCAAAACATTTAATTGGTATAATAATTTGTAGGGTCAGCTTCACTGTTAAGACAAAATATCACTACCTTGAAAGAAATGAACCATTCCAGATGATAATTTTAAATCAGGCTTTATAATTTTAAATAGAAGATGACTGCAGTTACTAAACGTCATGTCTCGAATTAAAATCGCAACTTTATAAATAAGTCGAGTAAAATTTATCAACACTGAATTTAAATTATTTCAGTGAGAGGTCGCACAAAGAGGAAATATAAATCACAAGGTATTCATAGTAAGATAAAGAGAAAATATTAATTATAAAATTATCATTAAAAATATATATGCAAAGGAACTTTGATATTCAGAAAATACAAAAACGTTTCTGGTGACAGGTCAGTGGAATACAATAAGGCTTGTAGAGTTGTCTCGAATCCAAGGCTCCAAGAGATAGTATGATCTTTAACATCAGTGTTCGAACTGATCCAGCGTTAGAAGAAACGCATCGACATAAAGGACATTGTAGTATATACGCAGAGTTTAACAGAATTGAATATCATAACTTTCTGGGATGATAGAACATATCAAAAGTAAACATATTTGTAATACAGTGTGAGGTGAAAAGGGAAATATAAACGCGGAAATATATTAAGCACGAGGAGCATAGAAAAGCAAAAGTCGTTTCTATCATGGAAATTTACTCGAAATAATATTTGATGCTTACAATAATTGTTCAATTAAAAGACCACTAACTGCAATGCATGCATCATAATGGTGACGAAGTGATTGATGTAAGATTTGAAAGATACCCAGTATGTCACGCAGCAGAGACGCTGATTCTGACAATAAGTCCTTCCAAAGAGTCAATCTCCGGCCCGAAGACGAGATTCGTCATGGATATGATTTTCACCAATTCTTGTAAATATCGAACATTATTTATTGTCAAATATCTGTTATAAAAGCATTTCTATCATTATCCATGATATTCGTTCTTACTGCGTTTCAACTATCCCATTTCACATTCCACCACACACTGTATTACGAAAATTGTTACTTTTGGCTTGTTCTATAACACCTTAAAGTTGCGATTATGAATTCTGTTATACCCTGTACAGGGTGTTTATAAATGTATGGTGGGGCTACATTTATTAACAATATATATATGTATTACTTTACTCTTGCAAAACCTACACCGTGAGCATTGGCAACTGTCCAAGTTAATCATGTGCTACCTGCTGCTTGCTTATCATACTTACTGCGCAGCCGCAGTAAGAGCTAAGATGGCGGCGCTACAGGAAAAGGCTTTCTTTGTGCTCTGTTTTGAGGTGTTCAGATCTGTGGCTTGAGAGTAGCGTGAGTTTCGTGCATGTTTCCGTGCAGAAAATGCGCGTTTTCTTTGAACAAGAAACTCTGACTGGTGACTGATTTCTAGTTATTTTAGAAACCTGGTTGACCCAGCAGCGGTCGAGCGGGGAAGTCGCTGAACACTGGTAGTTCAATCCGAGGTTCGAATCGCAAGAATGGCCTGGCTGTATGGGCGCTTTTGTGGTTCCCCCCTGTGTAACTTGTATACGAGCCATTTTCCATTAGAAAGTCTTCCACGAAGGCCTCCCTTCCCTGAGGCAGAGAGTCCTCGAGGCTTTGCCTTATTCACATAAACCAAGTATTTAAGTAATGGAAACCTCGTTGCTACCTTATCTGCACCCAACTTTAATTATTACATTTTACAATTGGACGGTACTTTGCCCTATTTCCACAGAAATCGAGGAGAGCATGTTCTTCACAAACGCTGGTTTAGGATGCTGCAACATCAAACGACAATTTTCTCTCCTGGCCACCTTGTTCAGAATAATTTGATTACCGTGTAGATGTGTGTCGTGTGACCAAGGCTGCACATATTGAAGGGCTGTGATTAATGCATCAAAACCTGAACAGTTACGGCTACCTACGCTGTAAGGTTTGCCCATATAAAGTAATGCATCAATTTATTATCAATATTTAAAATTTTATCATTCATTTACAAACATCCTGTATGCATAAACAGATGGAACAAACTATGAAGAACAGACATCTCATCACAAACTCCGTAGTCGCAAGGTAGAAGATCAGGAACTGTAAGGCAATTCTCTTTCGTAACGCAATCTACGATAACCTCCACGTCACATTCGTATACCAATTCATAACACGGCATTAATGAAGCTTTATACAACGGCATGATTATCTCATTGAAAATAAGGACATTTAATACTCATGATATAATTAAGTCTTGAGATGAATGTCCCTGTGAGGAGATAATTGAAGGCACAGGTAAAGAACTGAGATCTTTATTTTTAGACAAACGTTATATGGATGATTTAAGAGAACTTCAAGTCCGTATGAAATAAAAAGGAAAATTTCTCAAATGACATATAAATCCTTGTCAAAACCGGGGAGTACATATAAACAAAGTACATTAAAAATCATTTAAAAATGCTGGAAGAGATCTGAATTTAGCAGTCGCCCTAAAGGGCTAATATCGGTTAGCAGTAGATATCAATACAGATGGCCATGTTGGAATAGCAAAACTTTGTTGGATACTCTTAGAATAACTAGGGAACGTTATATATCTTCTACCAGTTTAGAAAGTGAAAAACTGTATAATGTAACTTAATAAAAATATTTAATGTTTTCATTAGATATACCATGAATTGAATGCATTTTTATTCAAATCAATCAAATTGAAAAGTTGTAAGGATTATGTTAATTTTATTAACAGTTAAATTTTAAGTTAAAGTTCCTTTCCTGCCAAATTCTTAACTTCAACTTACAACTTCCGGCCAGAACGTAGTTTTGGAATCACTCTGAATACTTAATGAGGAGGAGCGGTATTTAAACCGCGAAGTTATATTGCTGATTTAGAGAGAATCAGAGTTTCTGATTTGCGCGTCTTCCTTTTGGCTATTCTCTCTCAAAGCTGTTATTCGTCACTTTCTACAGTAACTGAGAAATACACTAGTGAGAATCTTACAAAGTAAAAAATATTACTTTTAATAATTCATATATTGTTTTTAAAACGCTCAGTTTATTAATCAGCTACAGACAGATGAAATTTAAAAGATAATTTATCTTAAATTTTGACGTATAGCCACAGACTCTAATAAAAAGTCAAACAATGCATATAATAAATCAGCGCAAAATCGTGTTTTGGCACTAATAGCCCTTTCGTGCTAAAAAAAAAAAAAGGCTCATGCATAGTTGTAAAATTAATAATTGAAGAAAGAATAATGATAGTATTTGGAAAAGAAAACACTGCTTTTATGCATGTTTATGAAATCGTACTATCTCTTAGTGATTAAAAAGGCTGGGTATGAGAAACGCAAATCTATAACCTAACCCTCTAAAGTGCGACCATACATACTGTGATAAAAATAGCTTTTTTGGTGTGCTTTATTGACACTTAAAACTTGTTAAAATAATTAGGAAATACCTCATACACACACATGCATATATAATTCATAATAATTTATAATATTATGAATTATTAGTTTATTACTTTGCAGCTTTAGCGCAAGTCATGGGCTTTTTAATTTACTTTTAATTACTTTATTTTGAATATATATACATACATAACCACATGCAGGGGTGTGAGATCCTTAATCATGATGACGGCCCATGCCATGCTGTTGCGTCTCGGATATTGCTCCACTTTGCAGGATATTTTGTGGACAATAAGCAGTACCACTCTTACGCCATAAAAACTGGCGTCTACAGTCCAATAACAGACGAACCTACTCTTATATGAAAATAGTATTCAAGCCCACTTCTCTCCAGCCTAGTTGTGATGCTTGTGATATCACTGCAAATGTTCGATATGGCGCTGTCTGCATAATGAAACACGCGCTACAGATCTGAGAGTGTACAGTCCTCCTAAACTTTGGCTACAGTTTCGTTAGAAATCTGCGGTCCTGTGGCAGCAAGAAAGTCATTCCCTACCTGAGCTGTAATACTCCGGTTTCTTTTTACCGACAGGGACGTGTGCCTGCCTGTTTCAGGCGTCAGACATCTAACACTGGAAGCTCTTCCGTGACAATGAAGCTGACTACGAGTGGCAGTTGTTATAAATGCTTTTCACAGCCATAACACATTAAAACAGCGCTACGGGAGAACCCATTGGAACCATTTTTTTTTATAACCCTTTTTCAATATTTCCAATGATAGGGCCATGAGTGAAACCATCTGTAGAGAAGACATAGCGAAACATTTTCCACTTGGTAAAACAACTGCAGGCACACATTAAATCCTTTAAAACTTTTAATAGCGCCATCATGTGATGAACAGGCGAAGGAAAAAATACATAAGGACCTCTCTTCTTGTTGTATGCCTCATTTATTCTAATTTTCCACATTTTTATTAATTTCCTTTTGGGGCTGTTTTGGGTAACAGCGTTTTCTGTTCTTAGCAATTGTCCGACAGTGTATATCAAGTAATCCAAAAGTAACAGAAAATGTAAAAATTCAATATTTCGAAAAGTATAGACAGCATGACGGAATTCGTAAAAAGACATGGGATTTTTTAATAAAGAAAGATTTTTTTTTCCCAAAGACTTTGACTTTAAAAGAGATTTTTTTTGCCATTTTTCTACGACAGGTTGTGCTGCAGTTGTGTCAAAAATCTTTACAGTGTTTCAGCACAATTAGCTATGTAACTTGGATTATTAATTTTGATTCTAGCTTTATATCCTGCCACGCCATGGCAAATAAAATCTCTCAGCATGGCAAAGACGCCGGACGACCTCTATACCCTTGTGACGTCAACTAACTCTCAAATCAACAAAGGCAAGGAATAACGACGAAGATCTATATGACCAATCTTGCGAGAAAGAACGACTGAGAACGTAATTATCGTCAAATTCCCTATTGTCATATGTTCC